TCTACAGAGAGAGAGTTCCAGGACATCCAGGGCTGTTACACAGAGAAACCCTATCTCGAAAAACAAAACAAAAAGATTGAGTGAAAGCTTTTAGGAGTGGCTGGGGGAACTCCAATCAAAACTCAGTTCGAGAAAATGCTATATTGGCCCTTGTGTTACAGGGCAGCGGTTCCTTACATTTCAATCGGTTGTCCTGATCCAAACTGTTCATTTAAATTAAAATCGTTGTTGAAACTGATATCCTGGAACCATCACGTCTCCACAGGCGATCAGCGGATCCTTGAGCTTTAGAACAGTTTGGACAGGCCCCAAATATCCCGCCTCCTTTCCCAGAATACCCTATCAGCACACGCCATGACGATGAGCGGCAGCCGAGGAGGAGCCAATTAAGTTCCGCTCTTTGCAAGAAACCCGCCCAGTCCTTGTGTCGTCACTGGGGCTCTTAAAAGAATATCTCAAAACAGGGATCTTCCGCGTAGCTGGGCGGCCGGTACTTGCGTTGAAACGTGACGGCGAGCGACCCCACCTTAAAGGGGAGGGCGCAGTGGAGACCCGAGCTCTTTAAGACAAGGCGGGCTGGGGCCTGCCCCTTTAAAGGCGGGGCGTCCGACGGCTGAATCTGAGCCCCAGATTACCTTGAGTTTCCGTCACGGGCAGCGAGGAGCGGGTGGCTCCTAGGCTGGGTCCGGGTGCTTGGCGGGCGGCGGCGGCTTCATCCCCGCTCGTCCTCCCCGGGCCCGGAGACACCCCCGCCCCAGTCATGCGGAGCAGAGTATGGAAGCAGCTGATTACGAAGTGCTATCCGTGCGAGAGCAGCTGTTCCACGACAGGGTCCGCGAGTGCATCGTGAGTGCGGGACCTGGGCGGGAAGGGGCCGGGCCGAGGTGGGAGGGGCCCGGGCAGCGGTGGGGACAGGAAGTCCTGCTGCCTGGGCTGCCAGCACCTCGGTCCCGGAGACGGTCGGGGCAGCGACGGCGAACTCTGGAGTCGGGTAAGCTGGGTCCCTGAGCCGTAAACAAAGCCATGGGGTTTCCGTTCCTCCGCTGCTCGCCCCTCCCCCCGCCCCCTTCTACTCCACCCCGGTGGGCGTTCCTGGTGGTGGGTCCTCTGGTGCTGAGAGTCTGATCCTCCGAGAAAAGGACGGGTCTACCTCGGGACAAGTGGATGTGCTTGTTCCCCATGAAGGTAGATGGGAGGGCAACGGTAGCTGATGTTGGAACGAAGGGAGACCCGGCCACATTGAGCAGTTAACTAGGGACGTGCAGTGGTGGCGCGAGGCGCGAGAGGGGTGTAGGGGATGTATTGGGTCTTCCCGCTAAGGAAGAAAGTAATCCTGTCCCGAGGTGGGTGGTAAGATACAGAGATGGAGATACTGAAGTTGCCGAGTCTATTTTTCTCTCCCTTTCAAAGATGGTTGTTTGTTTTCATTCGTGTTGTGATTGAACTCTGGGCCTCTGGCATGCAGCATGCTAAACACAAGCCAACACAGTGACGCACACCCCACAACACTTCCTGATAATTTGTTTGACACTCTGGAAGACTGGGTTTGCAGCTTTCTAACCATTCGGGGATTTCTGGGGGCGGGGGTTCCACAGTAGTGCTGAGCACAGCTAGTGTCCCTTACTCCTTCAGCGTAGCCTAGAATTGCAGCTGAACTTTGCACACAGTAGTGTACTGGTCTAGGATAGGAGCACCCCAGTGGAACTTCCTTAGGGAAGCATGTTTTCCTTGGGCCTGCTTTTAGTTACCATCTCTCTGTGTGCTGTTTCTCCCTCAGAGCTCTGCACATACTAAATGAAAGGGGAAGGGTTTGGAGGAATGGAAAGAAGTCTTAATAAATGAAGGGGAGGACATGGATGGAGTCATCCTTCGTTTTTCTCAGGTGGAGCTTTGTGCTAACCATAGGCATGCTTAGATTGAAGAAAGGGAAAGAGGATATACCTAGGTCTGTCTTTATGATGAGGGCTGGAAAGTACAAGTGTACATCCCCAGGTGTGAGAATCAAGTGACATCATTGTGTATTCCTTAGTGGACAGGTACTCAGTGGGGCACATCACAGAGGCACATCTAGGCCTTGAGTGACGACAACCTGGAGGGATGAGCCTCAGAAACTGCTTATGTGTTTCTGCCTTCTAAGACATTAGCTTAGGACATCAGCACCCGCCAAGGGCAGTTGAAGGTTTCTAATACTCCATAGGTTAGAGAACAAGCTAGGCCAGGTGCTGGTGTGGTGAATGCCTTTAATCCTAGTACTCAGCAGGCAGAGGCAGACAGATATCTGAGTTCGAGGCCAATTTGGTCTACAGAGTGAGTTCCAGGACAGCCAGGGTAACAGAGAAACCCTGTCTCAGAGAGAGAGAGAGAGAGAGAGAGAGAGAGAGAGAGAGAGAGAGAGAGTGCACCCTAGCCTCTCCTGGAAGTGGGCGGAACTCCAACCCTGACCTTTTGAGCTCTTCTACCTTCTTAGATATTATGCAAGTTCAGGGCCAAAAGAGGTAGAACACTTGGCTGTAAAAATGCAGCTACCATCTTAGTGGCTCCTGTGGGTTTTCCCTAAGTCAAAAGCTACAGCTCTATTCTAGATTCAGGACGTCTTAGTGTCTTCTGTCCTTGTCACTGTACAGACTTCTTATTTCCTCTTGGTGTCTAGAAGACACATGAGACTGACTGATCTTTGCCTACCTCAACTGCAGTGACATCTTTTTTTTTTTTTTTTTTTTTTTTTTTCCCCTTTTGGAGGATAGAGATATAACCAAAGTATTAATTCATCTGTCCAAGTTCTGTCCTGTCAATTGGAGGTTCAACCACTCAGGGCCATGGGTAGGTCCTAAGAGACCCTGCCCTGAAGTTGGAAGTCACTTGTGGTAGGGCCTGAGGATTGACTACTTTTAAAGTGGCAGTTAACCAGCTCTGGAAATGTAGGGCCTAACTAAAGCCTCCTCTTAGACTAAATGATAATTAAATGGGCGCCAGTTGGCCACTGAGCAGACCTGATGTTTCAGGCCCTGGGTAAGTGGAGTAGAAGTTCTGATTTGGTCCATAGATGTGATTCTTACATAGTAATTCATGGAGTGTGCTTTCTCATGGCAGCAGATGGAGTTGGGTGAGAGAGGACATAACAAGAGAACACAGGCATCTTTTCCTCAAGCCTGTTACTCTCTCATAATGTTCTCAAAGGGTAGTCAGTCTCTCTCATCCTGTGGCCTGGTTTAGGGTATGGGGTATGTGTGTGCATGTGTAGTTCTAGGAGTTTCTCTATTCACCTCTAAAGATATGGTTGACGATTGTGGCTCCAGCAAAGTACCCAGCAAAGTCTGGGTTGGCAGTTTCCCCAGGGACTTGGAACAGCTTCTTTTTGGTCCTGCTTAGAACCCCCGATGCCTTAACTAGAAGAAAGGCATCAGTGAGAAATGTAGAATCCCAGAATATATGGAGCTTTTTGTTTTGTTTTGTTTTGTTTTTTGTTTTCCTAGACAGGGTGCCTCTGTACATAGCCCTAGCTGCCCTGGAACTAGCTCTGTAGACCAGGCTAGCTTCAAATTCACAGAGGTCTGCCTGCCTCTGCCTCCCAAGTTTTGGGACTAAAGGCATTCGCCACCACCACCCGGCATAAGGAGCTTTATATTGAGGCCCTTGAGGCTATGGAATGTGCTAGAGGTTATAGAACTTCTCATCCTAGGTTGTTTTTTGCCTTAGATCTCAATACTTCTGTTTGCAACACTATACATCCTCTGCCACATCTTCCTGACTCGCTTCAAGAAGCCCGCTGAGTTCACCACAGGTACTGTGGACTTCCCTGTGTTCAGCCTGAGTGCTAGTTGCCATGGAGCCAGCCTCAGAGGAGTGGGTGACAATTCCTGTGGGGAAAGGAAAGGTGGCTGTGCTGTGCTGTTCTGAAACCTTTGCTGCTCAGCCCCTGTCCTTCCACAGGCAGAGCTAAGGTGTCGGGTAGGAGGTCTAGATGGAAAGAGCTTTCACTTCTTTCTTGTTAGGGTACAAAATAATGTTTTATTGTGGCTTTTTCAAAATCGGTATCCCTTTCTTGGTTTTATTATTTTGTTTGTTTGGTTTTGGTTTTTGGTTTTTCGAGACAGGGTTTCTCTGTGTAGCTTTGGAACCTATCCTGGCACTCGATCTGGAGACCAGGCTGGCCTCGAACTCACAGAGATCCATCTGCCTCTGCCTCCCGAATACTGGGATTAAAGGCATGCACCACCAACGCCCAGCTTCTTGGTTTTATTTTTATTTTGTAGATAATATCTCATGTAGTCCTGGCTGGCCTCAAACTCTTTATGTAGCTAAGGGTGACCTTGAACTCCTATCTCTACCTCCCAAATACCGGGCTTCATGGTGTATTGGTGTGTGCTACCACATCCCCTATCCATGTAGCTTTTCTTTTCTTTCTTACTATCTTTTTTGTGTTTGTGTTTGTTTTCAAATATTTGAGGCAGGGTTTCTTTGTAGCCCTGGCTGTCTTGGAACTCACTCTGTAGACCAGACTTGCCTTGAACTTGCAGAGATCCGCCTGTCCCTGCTTCCCAAGTACTAGGATTAAAGACATGCACCGACACCACCCGCATCCACGTAGCTTTTCTAGTCCTCAGTTTCACCCTACAAAATGGGCATAATTAAGTCCACCTGGTACTTTGTCACTGGGGGGAGCAAATGGCAGCCATTTTGAACCTGAAGTGGGAAGGGCAGGGTGAGTCATGGGCATGTGTCTTGTGCCATTTCCTTTCCTAGTGCTTTCCCACCAGGACTCGGCACCTCCCAAGGTTTGTAGAGAGACTAAATTTTCTTGGAGTGTGGTGGGACAGAGACACACACGCAGCTAAGCTATCTACATTAGTGCTGTCCCCTTGGGGACTTTTCTCTGTGCATATCTCCCCCCTCCCCCCCCCATTTCTTTTCCCTTCCCGAAGCTACTGATGTGAACAACCTCTGAACCTCTATAAAGAGGAACTTGTGATGATAGTGATGGGAGGAGGGAGAAGAGTAGGGGAATTTGGGGCTTGTATTCTGTGTACCTAGGGCCACTGGACATTAAATTGCCATACAATACCTTACATTACAAACCTCACAACTGGTTGGAGAACAGGTTGTGAGGTTTGTAATGTAAGGTATTGCATAGGTCTTCCAGAGCCTCTTTTTCAGCACTGTCTTCAGTGGTGGGGATAGGGGACACATTATAATACTTCTGGTTCCCAGAGCTGCCCACTGATGTCCTGCTGAGTCCCCTTCCTGTCTGTCTCTTGCAGTGGATGATGAAGATGCCACAGTTAACAAGATTGCGTGAGTGTCACTACCCTCTACACCGAATCCAGTGACTTTTAGGAGCTGGGCTCTAGAAAGTCCTCTAGGGCAGCGGGAGCAGGAGCTGTCATCCATCCAAGAGAGAAAGAGTTCCTCCTTGTACCCTATTTCTGGCTTCCTGGCTTCGCCTCATGCTGGGGATGCTCAGAAAGCTGCTGTTCCTGTCTCCCTGGTTGGGCCAGGAGCTTCATGATCAG